AAAAGTCAAAATGTCCTTGGGCCTGTTAGCAACATGCTATGTTCCAAAGGCCAAAAATGTGAATAGTATTTGGAAGCTCTTATCTAATTCCTAAAAGATCTTAGGGTTACCTCTTCAGAGGGAGGAATGTTAGACTAGCAAAAAGCCCCATTTAAAAATAAAAAAGAAAGAAAGAATACACGAAGTGGTCAGAAAAAAGAAATGGGGAGATATGGGAGGTGATGGAGGGGAGGGAGTGGGTGTGGGTTTGATCAAAACACCTTATATACATGTATGAAATTCTCAGTTTTTTTTTTTTTAAAGAGATCAGTTTAATCCTCGTATTCAGGAGGCAGATGCAGGAGGATCTCTGTGAGTTTAAGGCCAGCCTGGTCTACAAAGTGAGTTCCATGCCAGTTCTACAAGGAGACCCTGTCAAGAAGGAGAAGGAGAAGGAGGAGAAGGGGAAGGGGAAGGGGAAGAAACCAGAAGCACTGAAGTGAAACCTTTGCTTTACTGGGACAATTGACGCTGGTTAGCTGGGGCTGAAAAAGCATATGTAAGTAACAAGAGACCAGCATCACCGTGGTGAAATCTTCTGGGAAGTAGCTCCTCAGGGTCAGCACAGAGAAGCTGTGGTCCAGAGGGGACCTGAGCCTCCATCTCACGTTGGAAGCAGGACTTGGTAATGTGTAAGAATCTCCTGCATGGTTCTGGTGTTGAATATGTGAAGGGATTACAGAGAGCAACTGAGACTTGGCACCCTGAGAGGCCAGGAAATGCCATTGGTGAAAGTGCAGCCTCAGTTGCAGTGAAGACCCCAGGATTGAAAGGGTCATGGAGAGAATCTCAGGCTTTGTACCCCAAGAGGCCAGAGAGGCCATTGGTGAAGGTGCAGCCTCAGTTTCAGTGGAGACCCCAGCTTTTTGGAGATCCCAGGACTGTGGGACAACAACCAAGGGCAGTAGCAGGTGTGGAATGGAGCCGGCCTGGGTCTGTGAGATGAGGTGTGTGTGCTGTGAACGACAGAGAGAAGTGGAGCTGCCAAAACTCTTTGGAGCCCAAAAGATCATGAGTGAATCCTAAATGTCCAGCCTTGAGCTACTTTGCTGGACTTTGGTTTTGCTTAGATGTGACCTCGCAGATGTAAGACTAATAAACCCTTTCTTTCCCAAGTTGGCATTGATCAGTGTTTGTCATGGCAATTGAAGGCAAACTAAAGCATTGGCCGTTTTGAGCTATATAGTTTCATGAAGGTGTCTGATTGTCTGGTTGATATGTTTTGCTTTTTGAAACATTTATTATTTTTATTTTATGTGTATGAGTGTTTTGCCTACATGTATGTACGTGCACCCATGTCGTACCATACCTGAGGAAGTCAGA